AGGGCACTGCCCCTCACAGCACTACTCCCCTCACGGGGCACCGCCCCTCACAGCCCACCGCCCCTCCCAGCACTCCTCCCCTCACAGGGCACTGCCCCTCACAGCACTACTCCCCTCACGGGGCACCGCCCCTCACAGCCCACCGCCCCTCCCAGCACTCCTCCCCTCACAGGGCACTGCCCCTCACAGCACTACTCCCCTCACGGGGCACCGCCCCTCACAGCCCACCGCCCCTCCCAGCACTCCTCCCCTCACAGGGCACTGCCCCTCACAGCACTACTCCCCTCACGGGGCACCGCCCCTCACAGCCCACCGCCCCTCCCAGCACTCCTCCCCTCACAGGGCACTGCCCCTCACAGCACTACTCCCCTCACGGGGCACCGCCCCTCACAGCCCACCGCCCCTCCCAGCACTCCTCCCCTCACAGGGCACCGCCCCTCACAGCACTACTCCCCTCACAGGGCACCGCCCCTCACAGCCCACCGCCCCTCCCAGCACTCCTCCCCTCACAGGGCACTGCCCCTCACAGCACTACTCCCCTCACGGGGCACCGCCCCTCACAGCCCACCGCCCCTCCCAGCACTCCTCCCCTCACAGGGCACTGCCCCTCACAGCACTACTCCCCTCACGGGGCACCGCCCCTCACAGCCCACCGCCCCTCCCAGCACTCCTCCCCTCACAGGGCACTGCCCCTCACAGCACACCGCCCCTCCCAGCGAACCGCTGGGCAGCGCACAGTCCTGCCCAGGCAGCGCATCCCAACAGGATCCCGACAGAACCTGGGGCACCACAGCCACTACCCTTCCTGGGAGGATATAACAAAAACATTTTTGCCGCCAGGGATCTAAAAATCTAAAGTCTAAACCAGGCAGTACCCACGGATCCTCTCATCTTCCCCACACACACACTCTCCCTCCCATCCCCACGTTGAAATTATTGGGGAGATACCGGGTCATAAAACCATACGGGTTTTTAAATAACATAAAAAATGAATAAATAAATAAAAATAATGAAGGTCCTGGTATGACTCTGTGCTATGGTTTTGCAAGAGGTTACCATTGGAGGAAACTGGGTCAAGGATACACAGATCTCTCCATATTACTCCTTACAACTGCATGTGACTCCACAGTTACCACAAAATAAAAAGGTTAATAAAATTTAAGAAAATATTAGCCATGAGGTGAAAGACCAATCGGGAGCCAAAAACCAGGATTACAGGCTTTATTAGGAGAGAAAGAACTGCCAGG